TCTTTTACTTTGTCACTTTATAATTATTTTGTGTTATTATCATTTTTTTTTTCTAACACTTTAAGCACTTCCTTCAATATTAAAAGCATTCTTTTTTAGATGCACAAGGCTCTCTCTTTTTTAAAATAATTTTATCATATTTTATTTATTATCTCACATATTTTTCACTGCATTAAGAACAATAATAATAATATGATAATTATATTTAATGTTTTATTTACCATTATATTTGACAACACTAAGCACGAACGATGTAACCTATTAAACCAATAGCTTATTGACACATAAAGTGATAACCAAATTTTGATAATAAAAAAAAAAAAAATTATTGTTGAGAATATGTATAAGTATATTATTATTAATCTTTTTACTTCAAGATCTCATTATTGGTATTCTATCTGTAGTAGAAAATAGCATTTCCATTTTCTGGTTGGCAAACTTGCAAAATCAGTAGATGTTGTTGGTCCTTTGTTGGTGTAAGATTCAGTTGAACAATTACAATACTTGATTTCATTGTATTTTGGAGGCGACTTGTTGAAAACAGTTAGGACACCAATTTTATCTTGGAGATGGTTTGTTGGAAATCTGTTTGCTCACCAATTTGATGATATTAGTGAGGGAAACTTGCGTCTTCAAAAAAGTAATATTGTAAAACATCTTAGGCTTCGTTTGGAAAGAATGAGTTGGGTGGGTTTAGAATTATTTTAGTCACAAAATGGCAAAATAGATTTTTTAGCCTAATAAGACAAAACATTACATCTCACTCATAATCATTACATTCTTTCTCTCACAAAAAGTTTAAAAAGCCAAACAGCCCTTCCCAAAACTTTTTGACCCTGTTTGGTAGGACTTATTTCCAGCTTATTTCAGCTTTTAGCTTAATTTAAGCTATTTTGATGTGTTGGTCCAGTTTAACAATACAGTTTATAGCTTTTTGCAAGTCAAAAATCAACTTATTCTTTGAATGGGAGATGAGAAACTTAATTTATAAGTCAAAAATCAGCTTATGTTCACAGTTATAAGTTATAAGCTGTTAAATTATAAGTTATAATCACTTTCCCAAAACTCTACCAAACGGGTTAGTCCCAGACTAGCCAAAAAGTCAAAAAGTCAACTCATTTCCCAAACAAACCCTGGGCTGTTTGGTAACCATTTCGTTTTTAGTTTTCAATTTATATTTACAAAAAATTTTAAAACTATCATAAAAACTTGTTTGATAATTTTTTTGATTTATAAATAGTTGTCTTAGTTTATGAATTTGAGAAAAAAACGTAAACTCAAAAAATGAGTTTACATTGGTTTTTAAACAGAAATTTAAAATTTTGACTAATAAATTTTTTTTTCAATTAATTTTTTTCAAATAATTTTTTCCCAATTAATTTTTTTTTTCAATTATAATGTGTATGATCCCATTGTTATAAATAATAAAAAATAAATATAAATATTTTAAGCCTGAACAAATATATTTTTTAGTTTATATTTTTAAAAATTTTCAAACATTTTATTTAAACCAAACATGTTTATAATTTATGTTTTTCTAAAAATAAACAAAATCCAATTTATAAAATTTTTATAAACATAAATAAAAAACATAAGCGTTACCAAACACTACCTTCAAGTCTTGTCTATAGAATCTACCTTCCTATATCTTTCAATTTTTTTTTTTCCCTCAAAGTTTTTAAATTTTTTTGCCTCATCAATCCAACTACGAGGCCTGTGGAAGGAAAAATCACAAGGTGCTTTCAAAGCACCCGTGTTGTTACTATCAGTCAATCACCAAGTATTATTTTCATTATTATTTTTTCTACCTCAATACAAAATCATAAATCTCACTTTAGGATAGCCCTTAAATTGCTTAATAGACTCTCTTCAGGAAGATTGTAACTTCAACATGTCCCAAATTTAATGCAAAACTATTTATGTTTTACCACTAAGCAAAATATAAATTCCATTCACATTTTTTTAAATATAATTTTAAAATAATTTTTAATTAAAATAGTATCAATGCAAAATAATTGTAAAATAATAAAAATATAAGCAATTTATGCATTAAATTGTACAAGAAAGTCTTTTACTTTGTCACTTTATAATTATTTTGTGTTATTATCATTTTTTTTTCTAACACTTTAAGCACTTCCTTCAATATTAAAAGCATTCTTTTTTAGATGCACAAGGCTCTCTCTTTTTTAAAATAATTTTATCATATTTTATTTATTATATTATATATTTTTTCAATACATTAAGAACAATAATAATAATATGATAATTATATTTTTTTTATCATGTTTTATTTACCATTATATTTGACAACACTAAGCATGAATGATGTAACCTATTAAACCAATACCTTATTGACACAAAGTGATAACCAAATTGTGATAATAAAAATAAAAATAAAAAATTATTGTTGAGAATATGTATATTATTATTACTCTTTTTACTTCAATATCTCATTATTGGTATTCTATCTGGAGTAGAAAATAGGATTTCCATTTTCTGGTTGGCAAACTTGCAAAATCAGTATATGTTGTTGGTCCTTTGTTGGTGTAAGATTCAGTTGAACAATTACAATACCTGATTTCATTGTATTTTGGAGGCGATTTGTTGAAAACAGTTAGGACACAAATTTTATCTTGGAGATGGTTTGCTGGAAATCTGTTTGCTCACCAATTTGATGATATTAGTGAGGGAAACTTGCGTCTTCAAAAAAGTAATATTGTAAAACATCTTAGGCTTCGTTTGGAAAGAATGAGTTGGGTGGGTTTGGGATTATTTTAGTCACAAAATAACAAAATAGATTCTTTAGTCTAATAAAACAAAACATTACATTTCACTCATAATCATTACATTCTTTCTCTCACAAAAAGTTTAAAACCTCAAAAAGCCCTTCCCAAAGCTTTTTAGCCCCAGACTAGCCAAAAAGTCAAAAAGTCAACTCACTTCCCAAACAAACCCTGGGCTGTTTGGTAACCATTTCGTTTTTAGTTTTCAATTTATATTTACAAAAATTTTAAAAACTGTCATAGAAACTTGTTTGATAATTTTTTTTGTTTATAAATGATTGTCTCAGTTTATGAATTTGAGAAAAAATATAAACTCAAAAAATGAGTTCACATTGGTTTTTAAATAGAAATTTAAAATTTTGACTAACAAATTTTTTTTTCAATTAATTTTTTTTTCAATTAATTTTTTCCAATTAAATTTTTTTTTTCAATTATAATATGTATGATCCCATTGTTATAAATAATAAAAAATAAATATAAATATTTTAGGCCTGAACAAATATATTTTTTAGTTTATGTTATTAAAATTTTTCAAATATTTTATTTAAACCAAACGTGTTTATAATTTATGTTTTTCTAAAAATAAACAAAATCTAATTTATAAATTTTTTGTAAATATAAATAAAAAACATAAGCATTACCAAACGATACCTTCAAGTCTTGTCTATAGAACCTACCTTCCTATATCTTTCATTTTTTTTTTCCCCTCAAAGTTTTTAAATTTTTTTGCCTCATCAATCCAACTACGAGGCCTGTGGAAGGAAAAATCATAAGGTGCTTTCAAGGCACTCGTGTTTCTACCATCAGTCAATCACCGATTATTATTTTCTTTATTATTTTTCTTACCTCAACACAAAATCGTAAGGGTCCTGCTACGTTTCATGAAAACTGTCATGAAAACCATCTGCACCGTTGGATCATGAGACACATACCTGATCTAACGGTGCAGATGGTTTTCGTAACAGTTTTCATGAAAATTCTTCATGAAACCTAGCATTTCCCGAATCGTAAATCTCACTTTAGGATAACCCTTAAATTGCTGAATAAATTGCTGAATAAAACATTATGAAATATATATATATATGATTAAATAAACCTCTAATCCATAATAATTAGAAAGTCAACAAAATCTAATAATCAATCCACCAAATGCACTAAGTCAAGCCAACAATCTATAATAATCACATATAACCTCCATAATAGATGAGAAATAAATCAATTTTTACAAAAGATATCAAACTCTTGGTCACCTCAAGTTTTTGACATTAAAGGTAATACATTATTACTGCTAACTATTAATATGCAAAACACATCACTGGACCAACAAATTGAGTTCTATTTTTACATCATTTTCCAAATTGAATCTATATTTTAGGGTTGGGCAAATTTTGATAATTGGATACTTTATTGCCCTTCACACAAAAGGACAAAAGGGTGGGGAATAGGAAAGTGATATAATGGTTATTTAACTTATTTTTCTCCATCTTTCATTTTCTTTCATTTTTCAATTTCTTTCATTCGATAATCCTCTGACAACTCACGTAAACGTGAGGGTGAGGGTGAGGGTGAGGGTGAGGGTGAGGGTGAGGGTGAGAAATTATATTTTAGCATTAGACAAAATTGATAATTGGATCTATATTTTGTTTTTGGATAAAATTAATAATTGGGTACTTTTCCTTTATTGCCCTCCAGTTTGGGAAGAAATAAAATAATCCTTTTGAGAATTAATTTTTTTACTTCTTTATAAAGTGAAAAAAATATATATTGTGTTTAAATTACTTAAACATTTGACCTTTTTTTATTTATTTTTTCTTTTTTTTTAAAACTTTTTTAGTGACTTTTTTTTTTTTACTTGATTGTTTGACATTTTTTTTTACTAACTTTTTGTTTACATTTTTAATGACCTTTTCACTTCTTTTTTATTTTTCATGACATTTCAACTAGCTTTGACAAAAGAAACCAACTTGCCAAAATGATTAAAATAAGGTCCCTATCAATCCTCTTATGAGGTTAGACTAAAAACAATACATATAGAGTAATGTTAGGGATACTAAATTTTCTATTAAATAAATGACTAAATGTCTTACATGGGTATGGGGTCTGCAATTTTATGGACCCCACACCCATGTGAAATATTTAGTCATTTATTTAGTAGAAAATTTAGAACCACTAAACATTTTTCATATATATATATATACAATATGACAATATGATCCATGTCCAAAAGTCATACTAAAAAAACCCTCAAGACACAGTTCCCTATGTGAAGTGGAGTCATCACTTAAATATTTGCCTATAAAAAATGCTACCAACCCTCTTCCATTCCTCATCTCCAACCAAGTCTCTCATCTTCAGTTTCATATTCTTTGGCTGCTTCAACTTCTTATTCTGGTGGGACAAAAGTTCAGAAAACAACATGGATCCAAACACTGATGAAAACAGCAACAAGAGAAGCAAACATGATGAGAAGAAGATCAAGGGAACTGTTGTGCTGATGAAGAAAAGCCTCCTCGACTTCGACGGCCTTAGCCTGCCACTTGTCGATCGGATTGAGGAGGTTGTTGGACAAAAGGTCTCCCTGCAGCTCATCAGTGCTGTCAATGGTGACCCTGGTAAGTTCCTCTCCTATTCGTTGTCAGTTTCTTGTTTTCTGTTTAAAAAGACCACAAACATGTAATTAAAATTAATAACTTGTTTGATAACTCTTTCGTTTATGTTGGGCATAAGCCACATGTTATACCGTATTTCACTAAATAGATATTTGTGTTATGATTCAAGTTTAGAAACAATTCATTTCAATTTTCTATTCAAGAATGAGCTACTAATTAGCCATTATGAGCATACTCCATATACTCATGAATATATTAAATGTACATATATCTATTTCATCCACATAGTGATTCATTCAAGAATTTGATATCAAATAGGCCCTTTTAATGCAGTGGTAGAGTAACACCATGGTAAGTGTTTCAAGAACATATAAAGCAATAAAACATGTTTGGTGAGTGGCCAGATACTTCAGCTTTTTTTCAAGTTTGGCCTCTTTATCAAATAAATGATCAGGGCAATGAAAGCTTAGTCCCACACCTGCTTTTCACAGGAAAAAAAAAAAAAAAAAAAAGAAGAAGAAGACAGCAGGGGACCATCTTTCATCTTTGCAAATATTAGTAAATTACCATTTGTGTATTTCTCTTTATTCTCTAAAATTTACATGGGTCATGAACTATAAATCTAATATAAAGTTTTATTATGCCTTTTTCTCTTTTTCCAGGGAAAGACTTCCGCGGGAAAATTGGAAAGAAAGCATATTTGGAAGACTGGATTACTAAAATCACCACTCCATCTGCGGACGTGTCATTCAATGTTACTTTTGAATGGGATGAGGAAGTTGGGGTTCCAGGGGCTTTCACTATAACGAACTCTCACCACAATGAATTCTACCTTAAGACTGTCACCCTCGAAGGAGTTCCTGATCATGGCCAGATCCAGTTCATCTGCAATTCTTGGGTCTACCCAAAAAAGTATTATGAAAAAGACCGTGTGTTCTTCACTAATCAGGTATCAATTAATAATTTTAGATTGATAAAAGATGACCTGTTGGAATACTTTCATTCTAGGTTGTGGCAAGAAACTTGATTCTCATAAAAATATATATTTATGGAACAATGACTTCTAATAGCCTTTTTAGGATGTCAATATTCAAGAAAAGGATCCCTGAGGCTGTGTTTGGATTTTGAATTTTTAGGAAGAAGAAAAAAGTTAAGGGTAAAGGGCTAATCACGAAAAAGTCCTCTCCCAATGAGTTTCCCTTAATCCAACAATGATTTTTCTTGTAGTCTATCATCCAGCATACACTGATTGTATTACCACTCATAATTTTATTAATGGTCAAGAGAGCATTATTTTTGAGTCTGCCTATCCTAGGTGAATTGTCTGCTAAAGAAGCAAGCTCTAAATATTTTTTTTGCAGACATATCTTCCAGGTGAAACACCAGCTCCACTATGTCACTACAGAGAAGAAGAATTACTAACCCTGAGAGGAAACGGAACTGGAAAGCTCGAAGAATGGGATCGCGTCTATGACTATGATTTATATAATGATTTGAGTGAACCAGAAACAGATCTAAAGTACGGCCGCCCAATTCTTGGAGGATCTTCTAAGTACCCTTATCCTCGCAGGGGAAGAACAGGACGACCACCATTGGAAAAAGGTAGGACATTCATGTCCATTCTCAACCAATTACAAGATTTAGGGCATACGGCTTCTTGTAAACTGAAAGTTGATAATAGAAAAAATGGAATTTCTACCCAATAAGTTGCAAGTAAAAGCCGCCCCAAACAGTGGCACAGATTCCCAAATTATATATGAATAAATAAATAAATAAAAATTATAAGCAGCTCAAATATGCTGCAGTAAACAGGCCCTTGCTAGTTGTCTTCACATTACCACTAGATATTATGGGCTACTAGTAATAATAACATGGTAACAAGGACTCAACAGATATGTATCATCCAAAGTAATACAAAGTGAACGATTAGTTTGGAAACTTGTTAACTTTTAATTTTATAAATATTTTGATAATAGGTTTTGTGGTATTTTCTTTACAGATCCTAGATATGAGAGTAGGCTCCCACTTCTTAAGAGCTTAAGCATTTTCGTCCCAAGAGATGAACGGTTCAGTCGCTTGAAGCTATCAGATCTTGTAGCTTATGGGTTGAAATCTGTATTTCAATTCCTTCTTCCCGAGTTTGAGGCTCAATTTGACAAAACCCCTGAAGAATTTGACAATCTTGAAGATGTAATGAAACTCTATGACGGAGGAATCAAGATACCCGATTGCCATTTACTCGAGAGTCTTAGGAAAGAGATTCCCTTCGAGACACTAAAGGAAATTCTTCGAACTGATGGTGAACGGTTCTGTCATTTTCCAGTGCCACAAGTAATTGAAGGTATGGTATACATCTAAGCAGCTAAGCAGACACTTCTGGGGACACTAATATCAAGCTTTGTAGCTTATAGTATGATATATCTTGATATAATTTTAAGAGATAGGACTTCTGTCTAATTGTGATTTTCTTGAATCAGAGGATAGGTCTGCATGGAGGACAGATGAAGAATTTGCAAGAGAAATGCTTGCTGGACTAAACCCTGTTGTTATCCGTCGTCTCCAAGTAAACGAAACCTTTCTTGTTCTCCATTTCTTTAACTAAACACAAAAAAAAAATAAAGAAGGAAAGAAATTCAGAGGCATAAATTTGATAGCTAAATGCTATGTAGTTTTAATATTCTTCTGAAAAGCCAAATCAGACCATTAATATCCTTCAACTTCAATTATAACAACTAAAGAGAAAATATTTATTTGCAGGAGTTCCCTCCAAATAGCAAGCTAAATCCCAAGGTGTATAACAACGAGGCCAATTCAAAGACCAAGGAGAGCATAGAGAAAAACCTCGAGGGGTTAACTATTGATGAGGTATTTTTCATAGAATTGCTTCTATCATGCTAAAATAGTCAATCAAATAGTTCATGATCATACCAGAAACCATAATAAATATTTTCTTGAATAGGCACTCAAGAACAAGAAGCTATTCATATTAGATTACCATGATGCTTTGATGCCATACTTGAAGCGGATAAATTCAACTTCCTCAAAGACATATGCCACAAGGACACTCCTCTTCTTGAAAAATGATGGAATTTTGAAGCCATTGGCAATTGAATTGAGCAAGTTCCAAGAGGAAGATCAATTACGAGTCCCAGAGGAAGAACAATTAGGAGAAGAGAGTGTAGTGTACACACCTGTCGAACATGGTGCTGAAGGTACCATTTGGCAGTTGGCGAAAGCTTACGTTGCTGTGAATGACTCTGGCTATCATCAACTCATTTGCCACTGGTACGGACCTTTCAAAGAAGTGTTTGTTTCGTGAGTAAATTTCAGGCTATAGATTGTAACGGCTCTGCATGTCTTTGGTTTTGGTCACAGGTTACATACTCATGCTGTAATTGAGCCATTTGTGATTGCAACAAATAGGCAGCTGAGTGTGCTTCACCCAATTAATAAGCTTTTGCATCCTCACTTCCGCGATACAATGAACATCAATGCACTTGCTCGGCAGGCCCTCATTAATGCTGGTGGACTACTTGAGAAAACAGTCTTTCCATCAAAGTACGCCATGGAATGGTCATCTGCAGCTTATAAGGACTGGGTTTTTCCAGAGCAAGCACTCCCTGCAGATCTCATCAAGAGGTAAGTTTACAAACCCAGAATTCTGGCAATGAAACTTGGTGAATGATATCAAAAACATGGTCTCTGAACAAAGAAAAACAATGGCTATGAAGCACGGACATGTGACACGACGGATACATGGACATGCAAATTTTCAAAATATGCAGGACACGACACGCTGAGGACACGTGAATACATATAATTTTATATCAAATATTTAATCTCATCAAATTCATCAATCGTGGATATGCTATTTCGGTAAAAATAATAATAACAATAATTTTTAAATTAAATTTAAAAATGAGATAAAACGGGTCCCAATGTGTCCGCAACGTGTCCTAGCGTGCCTGACTCCCTCCAGCATGTCTGACTGTCAAAAGCGTGTCCATGTCCGACACATGTCAGACATTGGTACGTGACCTCAAAAGAGGTGTTTGAATGGCTATTTTCATAGTTGTGATTAATGATTCAAAACTTGTACCATCTGCACTATTCAGAGGAGTGGCAGTTGAGGACGCAAAATCTCCACACGGCGTGCGCCTGCTGATAGAAGACTACCCTTATGCTGTCGATGGGCTGGAGATCTGGTCAGCAATCAAAACCTGGGTTGAGGACTATTGCTCCTTCTACTATAAGACTGATGAAATGGTTCAAAAAGATACTGAACTTCAAACCTGGTGGAAGGAGCTCCGAGAGAAGGGTCATGGCGACAAGAAAAACGAACCCTGGTGGCCTAAAATGCAGGCTCGTGCAGAGCTAGTCGAAGCATGTACCATTATCATATGGGTGGCCTCTGCTCTCCATGCAGCAGTTAATTTTGGACAGTTCCCTTATGGAGGCTACCCCCCAAACCGACCAGCCATGAGTCGCCGTTTCATTCCCAAAATAGAAAATAAAATTGACTATGAGGAGCTTGAGAAGAACCCTGACCGGGCTTTCTTGAAAACAGTGACCCCACAGCTGCAGAGCATTCTTGGCATTTCCCTCGTAGAGATTCTGTCAAGGCATACGGCGGATGAGGTTTTTCTTGGAAGGAGAGACACACATGACTGGACAACAGACAAAAAACCATTAGAAGCCTTTGAGAGATTTGGAAAGACGCTGACAGAAATTGAGGCCAGGATCACAAGGATGAACGAGGATGAGAAAATGAGGAACAGGGTTGGACCAGCACAGGTGCCTTACACTTTGCTATTTCCAACCAGTGGTGTCGGACTCACCGGCAAGGGAATTCCTAATAGTGTCTCAATCTAATGGTTTTAATTTGGAATGTTTTTTTCCTTAGCAGTGTAGTTTGCCTAAAAATGCAATAAGTTTGCAGTAATAGTGAAGGTAATATTTACAGAAAGTTGGGAAATGTTTCATTATCTACATCAAAAATTTTAATTATCTCAAAATGTTTCATTAGGGTAATCTTTGATAGGCACATGTGCATTATGTGTACTCTCTAGAATTACGATTAATATGATCTGAATTACGAGTAGCCAATGTAGCTGATAACGACACAATGTGGTCGGGAACCACATGCGATCACAACTGATCACATTGAATCGTACCCTCAATTACATTGAATCGTAATTAACTTTTTAACCTGGCTAAATGACAGTTACATAATGGGTTGCGCATCATGCACAACTTTTTGGAGTGGGCATCACAGAATTTCCATAGTGGATATAGTATCTTAGGCATTGAAGCTTCCCTTCTACTGTTGCAAACTTCACTCCTGCTTGATGGGAATCAAAGAGTTGATGAGAACCAGAGGCTTTACACCATAGCTGTATAAACACCAATGCTTGTGATGGGAAACAACGAGTTAATGAAAACCAGAGACCTACTGGCAACTTCTCCAGCCTCTCATCCTACTCTTGGCGCCACAATGCCACAATTTTGAGGAGAAAAATTTTACCTTGATCAAAACTAATAGTAAAAACAAATTTGGACAAGAAAATCTTAGTTCACTATAACAATACGTAAAAATTGCATCTAGGAGGACTTTGGAAGCACTTCCGTAGTTTTCAAAATTAAACTTACAGCCATTATTGTTCTGTTACCGGGAATTGTGGAAGTATCTACCCTAGTTTTCTACTATCTGTCTGCTTTTATTTGCTCAAATAATAGGTTGTCAGTAGACATAAGCACCATCAAGATTCCAATCATGAAAATAGTACAAGCTTCCTATTATTATGAATACCCCCACTAGCATTTCTGTGCAAATCTCATGCATACATGCACCCACACCCACACCCTCTCACACGCGCGCATGCACACACGCACACACACACACGCGCGCGCACACAAAAGACTATCTTTGGAAAGAAAGAGTAAGATCAATAATCACAAAAAAATGGGCCATACGATTGAGATATACAAACTCCAAATCTGAATTGTTGCTTGCTACCTTACAAAAAAAATACATACATAGAACACAGATGACAATTACACCATGCCAGAACCCATCGTAACACAATGGGGAGGGAAAGCCAGATGTGTTTGTCAATCCATTTTCTAATAAGATGAGTGGGGGCACCATCACAGATCAGAACCTCTCAATATGCATGTTGGATACAAAGTAGAAAGACATAGAGCACTAAGCATACTGATGATGTGCACTTCACCCCACTTCCAGAGGCGAGTTCCCTTCTCCGCAATGCTGCCAAATAGGGAAGATAATTAACATTAACCATCAACTAGATAGTTTTTAACTCAAAGCAACAACATGCCTGAGAAGAAATTCAAACATTTGTGCACACTGTTACATACACACGTGCAAGCACAGAAAGAGAGCTTGTATCAGATGGAAGCAGGAAACAGAGGCAGAAACCAGTAATCACAAGGAATTTTTTAAATGATTAATAAGAATTCCAGAATTGAAAGAGGCAGAGGATTCAAACTAGGACGTGATCATTTTGTAAGTAATTGAATATTTCCAAATTTGGCACAATATCTGTAAATAAATTTTAAACATCAGACATATCATGGTACCTATTGAAAAGCCTCAATGTTTTAATAATTCTTCAAAATTTATAATTTCTAAATTCAGCACAACAATGAATGAATTTAAAATATAAGATAACATCTCATAATACCTAATGGAAAGGATCATATCTTAGGTTTTCTTCGTAATTTATTACAATATTTTCACATGAAATTTTTGGCTAAAAACACAGGAAATTAACCCATGAATAAATGTATAGACAATAGATCATAGCGTATACAAGCAGATGCAGACATTACAACAACTAAAAATATTCAATAAAGAAGAGAATAAAAATGAATGGATGAACTAACACGAAGAACTATAGAAACTATTAAACCCTGGGGTTTCATTATAGTCTATGAAAATTGCATCTCTTTTTCCACTTTTGCAGTTCTTGCAATGATATGTTGCAACAGCAGCTTCATTTTTTTGATTAGCTGCAACAGCAACTTCATATGCTTTGAACATTTACCACATAAGTGAATTGAAGCCTGGATCAACCCACTACATAATAAGTACAAAGTGGCTGCTACCATACTCAAACCCGCATTCTCATTTTTGACAGCCCAACCATTTTCTTACTGCACCAAGCAATGGCCCCTACAAATAATAAAATTTCTTTTTAAAGGGGCATTAGGAGCTTAAGCTTGCTCTTTCCTTTTTCTCGTTCTTTTTGGGCCTTCTTTATATTGTGTTAACATGGTGGATTGAAGGCGTGCTCCAGTGTTCATTTATTTATTTAATTTTTTGTTCTGAAAAGAATAAACACAAAAAGTAGTGGATTAAATAATTGATATAAATAAGCCAATATATTCATAGGAGCCTAAAACTGGAAAATAAGAAAATTTAACTACTTTGATAAGGAACTAGAAGAGTTTGTTTATTCGTCTATTTATCATGTTGTCGGTGATTAGAAATTGGAAGGATTTATTCACAAAGAGGAAAAAAAATACGAGAAAGAAGGAAGAGCAATCCTTCTGAACAATGAAAGAAGCCCAACAATACAATATTGGATCTAAAATCTGAAAGAATAAACAAAATTAACAACCAACAAAAAAACATCTAGCTGAATTCAAAATAGATAAAAATGTCCCTTCCCAGGCCTAAAAACAAACCCCCATGTCTAGCCAAAGAGTTTGCTCTCTAATTGTCTAACATAGCGAAGTCAATCTAATATCTTTCTTAGAATGTGCACATATTGGGTACTTTATAGCCCTCCATTCACACAGAAGGGCAAGGGGAAAAGGAAAGTGATGTATAGAAGTCACTTTTCTTCATGTTTCATTTTCCAAAATTTTCCCCTTCGTTAATCCCCTAACAACTCATGTGAAAGTGAAGACTGGAAAATTACCTAGATTTGACGTAAACTATTTATATTTTGGGTGCTCTGTTCATAAATCCAATTTTAAACTTCTTCTGTCCAAAAGTCCACATGTTAAAGTATGATGTCCATAAGGACTTGCTTATGTAGAAGGACCAAACTACCCCCATATATATCGCATGGATCCACTCGTGCCTAAACCCTATCTATGCAAATTGAACTGTGTAATGAAAAAAATCCCCTCTCTCTCTCTGCCTCTCTCTATATCTTCTCTCTCTTCCCTCTCTCTCAAAACCCTAGCCATGCCATGATTCCGGTGTGCGCGGTGGTCAGAATCGTCTAGGCCAAGATCTTCATCTTCTTGTCTTCTTCGACGACACAACCACCACCACTACCTCTCCATCCATCGCCATCGCCATCGATAGAGAGACCAAATCTGGGCGATGGTAGATCCGCCACTACCTCTTGTATCTCTCTCTCTCTCTCTCTCTCTCTCTCTCTCTCTTAATTTCGAAAACACTAGGCGGCGGAGGAGGAAGTGGAACAGAGGTGATGGTGATGGATTCACCACCGTTGATCGAGGATGTCAATTTGGCTCCCACAGACACCGCCACTGTTATACGACCTTCTCTCTCTAACAGACACCACCACTATTATACCACTGTCGCCATAAGGTTTGCGAGTTCCACAAGAAGGCTACGACGGCGATTGTGGCCGGACTCCGGCAAAGGTTGTCAGAAATGCAACAGGTGTTGAAATCGTCACTCTCCGCACTTCCCCATACTCTTCACCAACTCGAAAGCTAGGTTTCCGTCGCCCTTCGCCACCGCTAGCCTCGCTAGGGCGGTGATCATCTTCCCTTAGATTTGTTCGGATTCAGATTTGAAGCGACGATAGATCACTTATTAGTTATAATGAACTACATCAAATGAAATCACTTATTAGTTGAAGGGGCTAAATACGAAATGGGTCGGATCCAAGCCTTGGGCCGGTCCAATCTTCCCAACCCAAACCCAAACCCAAACGGGACAGATGAGCATGTGGGCAATCCGACTAAGCCAAACTCCATTACCAACAACCCACCTAAGTCCTCAAGCACTTGGGCCCAACTCGCAGTGGAAAGGCCACTCCAACCGCAACACTGGGCTAGGGCCGAACTACAAGACTCATTCTATGGGCCGAATTGATGGGCCGAACCTATCATCAGAACCAAAGTGGGCCAAGTCCATACACAGATATCCGAATTGGCCAGCCCATCCTGACAATAGTCTCACAAAAGGCCGAGCTGAGGCACAACGGGACCGAGTTGAGGGAACCTCTCAGAGAAACGTGGAAGCTATGAGTATATACATGTGCAAGTTACCACCTCAGCTGGTCCCCTACACCTAGAATCACGGAAGCAGTTAAACCAAAGGAATATGGTTTGTTATCAACATGACTACAATGAATACATGCACCTCATGACAACTACCAAATGGTCCCCCACCCTAGGCAATGCTAAAAGGAAACTTGGCAGCACTAGAGCACCATGAAACCATCTTGGGCAACAAGTAAGGAGTTCCATATAAACCACACTAATTTCACATTAAAGGTAACTGATCTAAGTTGAACCTTACTTACTGAAACTCAACCCTCTACACTTAGGGGGCACCTCACTTCTTCTCCAATTACTCATTCCCACACCGGAGGGGTTATCCAGCCAACCCCAGCCAGGCAGATCTTACGGTGTTTCTCACTGCAGGACCTCAATTCCTGGATAGTCCAGTCGATTGCGGAGCTCCGATCCACTTTCATCTAGTGCGGTATCCGATACGCACAATTGGTGCAGTGAGCGTGGAAGCTTCGTCTCTGAGCTCTGCACTCGATTCCGGCGATGGGGATTGAGAACATCCCACTTTCGGCACATACTCCACAGACGGAGAAGACAAAGGACAAAGGCTTGGCACTCCTAACAGTCTTAAAAGAACAAACTGGAAACAATAATCGGACTCCTGAATCTGTTGAGCATTGATTGCCCTTCGCTGGAAGTTCTTCTCATCACTTTCTTCTAGAAAAGGATTACAGAGATCGAATCATAGACTCCATGGGGATGGAGATACAGGAGCTGAAAGCGCAACTCAAAAGGGTGCTCGGCGATCCGACGGAGAAGAGGACAGACATAGAGCCCTCTCACCTGCGACAAAGA